TAACTCGCCGTTTCCTGCCATACTTGACCGCCCCTCTCCCACTGTGTTTGTGAGATGAGAAGGGAAGAGTTACTCCGCTTACTGTCGGGCGTCGGGTGATTCATGCCGTGTCTCTCTCGACACACACACACGCACACACACACACACACACCGGTAGGCTAGACTAGAACTGATCTATCATTCGTCTCACCTGAAGGCCTTGTTGCACGGGACACGCCTTTTCACAGACCACTTGCTTTGTTGAGTTCATTGTGTTAACGTAAACGGTTAACTACACAAATCCATCGACATGGCAGACTTGGAAACTGTAAGTATCTTTGTCTTTGTTTCACATTGTTTGCAATTACGATTTAAAAGTTTCTATATCTAATATAGAGATCTAATTATAGTGCAATAGATTCTATATCTAGATCTATATCTACATCTAATCTAGACTAGATTCTAGATTTAATTGCAGTGGCAGTGGCAATGATGACGGGAATGAAGAATCCACAGCAGATGAGGTTACTGCAGATTAGAATTAGGAATCGAGATGTAATCTAGATTCTAGATTGTCTGAACAGCTAGATCTAGATTCTAGATCTAGAAATCTAGTCTAGATCTAGATCTAGGTCTCTAGATTTAGATCTAGATCTAGATCTAGATCTAGATCTAAATCTAGATCTAGATTTCTAGATTCTAAGTTCTCTAGTCTCGTCCTTATGCCTTATGCCTTATTGTGATTTCTGGTGTCTGCCAATATGGAGGTTCGCTGCTGATGTTGGTGATTGGTTGTTCTCTGTTCTCGGGTGGGTCAAACACCTCAAGTAGTTTTGTTGCCTCTCGTATGAAGGTCTTCTGGATGCGTGTTCTTGGTTCCCACTCATCTGCCATTTTTCTGCTTTCGTTCGTGTCTTCTGGCCGCACAAACCTTTCGTAGGTTTCGAGTGTAGCCCTCTTTCTTCTGAGGTTCAGTGGTTCTATGTTGGTGTGGATTTCGCAGGCGCTTGTAGGCGTGGTCTTCATCGCGCCAGAAACAAATCTGAGTGCTTGGTTCTGTACTATTTGTGCCAGAGAGCTTTGGCTTGCTATGGATTGTAATGGTTGGGAGTAGTCAATCACAGATCTGACATCTGATCTATATTATAAAGTTGTCGGAGGGTTGCTTTGTCAGCTCCCCAGTTGAGTGCTGAAAGGTTTTTCAGAAGGTTTATTCTGGAGGTGTGGTCAGCTCAGTGCTCTTTGAGAGACAGCTTTCGGTCCAGTTGTACACCAAGGTACAAAAAATTGGGATAGTCCTCATGTCTGATGGTGGTTCCATTGATCTTACGAAGTGGCTAGCCGTACTTAAGTACGGCTAGACTGAGAGTCTAGCCGTACTTAAGTACGGCTAGACTGCAAGTCTAGCTGTACTTAGATCTAGGTTTGGCCCTATCGACTCAAGCCTGTTAAGTACACAGGTCTCATTAGATCTAGATCTAGATCTAGATCTAGTAATTATTCAGGTTCAAATACATGCAAGTCAGTAAGGCACCTTTTTGTTTTGTCTGAAATACAAATATACTTTAGGCATTGCAAACTAAAAATTTCATTTACAATTTAGCCATCAATATTAAGTACGGCTAGCCTGACAGTCTAGCCGTCCTTAAGTACGGCTAGCCTGGCTGTCTACCCGTACTTAAGTACGGCTAGACTGCCAGTCTAGCCGTACTTATCTTAGGCCCTATTAACATTAGAAAACAGGAGGTTTAAAATACATGCACTGTCATTTAGGCACCTGGTTTCGTCTCAAATACAAATACTTTAGGTACTGCACACTAAAAAAGTATATTTACAATTCAGTAGGCCTATTTTTTGTTAAATGGTCAGTCTAGCCATCATATTAAGAATAAGTACGGCTAGACTGCGAGTCTAGCCGTCATTAAGTACGGCTAGACTGCGAGTCTAGCCGTCATTAAGTACGGCTAGCCTCTTCCTTGATCTTAAGGTTTACCTGACTTGCTGTAACTTTGTTTTTAAGGCTGAAGAGTCCAAAAACAGTCTTGTCTGTGTTGATCTCTATCTTCCATAGCTGGCAGTAGGTGAGTAGGACGAGGTAGTTGTCAGGTCCGCGTTGATGGCTTGGTTTTCAGTGCTCTCATGTCACTTCCTTTGTTCCAGATGAGTAAGTCGTCAGCGTAGAGTGCTTTCTGTCAGGAGATTACATCTGGCTAGTCGTTCATGAACAACAGGAAGAGGGTACAGCTGAGTGCTGACCCCTGAGGGAGATCTTCCTCGAATGTCCTCTGTGAAGAAATGTTGCTGTCACATGACGTCTGGATAGTTCTGCGAGACAGAAAGTTCTTGGTCCAGCTGTACATCCTTCCTGCTATCCCTAGCTTTTGCATTAAAAGAACAGTCCCTGTCTCCACACACGGTCATATACGCCTGCCTCAGGTCGATGAAGGCAGCCACAACATTGTGTGTTTATTTTGAAGGGCATCGCTGGTCTTCTGGGCAAATCTGATGAGGTGGTCCCGATTCATAGCCTTGAAAACAAGAACGTATTTGTTTTTGAAGGTCACTATTGACTTCGTTCAGTTATGCCATGATGCCCAAAGCTGGCTAGATCCAGCCCCGCCTGCCAAACCCATCCAAACTGAAACAAACCGACGTACCACCAATGGGCGCTGAGTATTACATTTTTAGTGGGGACCTTTCTTCTGGCTTTACTATTTTTTGTGATATTAGCTAGAGAACCATAAAATTGTGATGGTAGTCAAGGATGTCCATAAATTATTCTGTAATGTGTCAGCTCGATCACTGCTGGCTCTTTTTCATTTTTTACTTTCAAGACTTAATTTCAGAATTTGTCATAGCGTACGTGGTCTTTATCAAAATCATTTTACAATCAGTTAAGGCTGAGGGTAGATATGGATTGTAGCACATTTGTTTTTTTTTTTTTTTGTAGGTTGTGTTTATTTTAGTTTTATTTTATGACTTATGTGTTGACATTGTGTCGGCTATCATTTTATCATCATTTTAGTATTCACTTAAAACCTTCTCTTTTTGGTAGAAATTCAAGACAGCTGCTGATGAGGTGACAAAGCTGACCTCAGAGCCCTCCAATGAGGAAAAACTTGCTATTTATGGTCTCTTCAAACAGGGGACTGTCGGGGATTGCAACACAGGTGAGCCCTGGTTTTTAGAACTGTTCACTGTATGTCTTATCAAAGGACAAGATGGGTGGCTATGTGAAACTGAAATACCGTCGAACCTGCCCTGACGGCCACCTCGATAAGACGGCCACCTGTACAAACGGCCACTTTCCATTTCCCCCTTGCATTTTTTCTATATAGTTGTGTAAAACCGGCACCTGTCCAATGGGGCCTCGGCCACCTTATTTTAACACATGACCCCTATCACACCTAACAATAACCCCTGTCTTTGACGACCACCTTAGTGACTCTATTACGTTTTGTCATAAATTAGGCATTGACCCCTGACGTTGTGGGCAAGCCGTTACAATCCAATCTTCTGTCATTGTTGTTGGGTAGTTCCTCCGACCGATCATGTTGCTTAGGCCCCTCCCACTGTTGACCATAGGTAACAAATTTTCAGCTTGCTGGTGAGGTAAGCGTGTGATCCCTCATAACCCATAAGCCCCGCCCAAAACTCATACACAATTCGTAAGTGAGATGAGTGGTCACTGTATACCCAGTCTGTAACAAAGTAACAACGGACGTCAACATGAACTTGTGACAGAAGCTCCACTCGTTCTCCAAGTGGTGGCGACTCATGAGTTTGTTTTACCATATAACTTGGTCATCCTTGTCTGACACATTTCGCTTTATTGTCACCATTGCACAAAAGCAGCAACAAAAGGAAATTTAAAAAACTGCGAAAACTACAACAACAGTGCTGCTACCTTTGGTTGGGACCTCGGAAAGGAATGGTTTGTTTTCCTAATCCTGATCAGTCCTGCTTAAGGCGGCCACCTGTCTTGTACGGCCACTTTTCTTCTTAACAATAGGTGGGCGTCTTACGCAGGTTCGACTGTAGTAGCCAATTTCTTCCATCATTCCGTGTGATCTGCAAAATGGCAGGGACATTGATCCCTTATTCCATTTAAAGCCTAACCTGATGAGATTTTCTTGTCCAATACAGAGCATGCTTATTTTATTTCAGGATCACAAGACTTATAGCAGCAGTTCATCTAATGGTGAGCTGTGGCCAAATTGAAGTCCGAATTTTCAGATTTGACATTTGAAAAGTTCAAGTGTGCATTAGCCAGCATGTCTTCCCAAACCAACAAGACTAGCTGAATGAGCAATAATATTAATGATGATACAGTAGACCGTCCATCATGAACTGATGATGACCTTGAATGTCTAAGGAGAAAGAGAAGTTATATAGCAATAATATTAATGATGATACAGTAGACCGTCCATCATGAACTGATGATGACCTTGAATGTCTAAGGAGAAAGAGAAGTTATATAGCAATAATATTAATGATGATACAGTAGACCGTCCATCATGAACTGATGATGACCTTTAATGTCTAAGGAGAAAGAGGTGGCTTGCATGGTAAAGAGAGAAAAGTAGGTTCTGGCTTAGTTAAAGATCTTACTACCCTTAGGCAGTCTACTGTAAGTGCTGCCCAATTGACCGCGGTCTTATGTGATCCCGACGGTCTAGCATCTAGCATAATGTAAGATCTGCCTGATTGGCTATGGTAATGACATTGCTTGGGGTATGTAGACCAAAGGCAGTGGTGTAACACAATTGCAATGTGTGGATGGGTGGATTGTTTCATTTCCTCTCGAAAAAATTATAGTTGACAAGTCATGCCAGCAAGGGCCCAGGTGGAACTAGTTTTAAGAAATTGGGGGTTTAGCCCGTATGAATCCTCCGCTCCCCCATCCCAGATAAACTGCAATCACCCCAAAAAAATTTTAGTGAATGGGAAATGACAATCTCAAGCCTGTATATGTATTGAAAAGGAAAATGAAAACTGATCTTTGTCACAAGTAGCCTGTATAAACTGGTAGACCTAAAACTAGATCAGTTGTCAGACCAGTCCAGTGGTAGACTGTCATCTCAACCAAAAATACTGTTGTAGATATTCAATTAAACCAGCACCAAAAAGTTAAGGAGATAAGATCAACTTTCAATGATCACCACAACTCGTCTCAGATAACATTAGAAAATAGCTTTGGTTGGGGAGATGTGTGTTTTGCATTCGGACGGTCCTGCCTATCTAAACTGGATTTTCTTTCAGTGGCAGAAGATGGGCTTTTGCCCTCTCGAGAACTTGTGTCTGGGATCTTATCCCTCCAATTAATCCCTAGTATACTTCTCAGGCTGGAGAGATGAAATCTGTTGTGCTTGCCGGCTAGCATTTTGTACACTGTCCGGGACTCCTTTCTATATAAAAGGGTTTGCAATGCAACTTCGCTATACACACTGAATTTTGACTGTAAGTAATATCAGAGACCTCCCAAACTCTATTTTCCTCTGTCTACCAAATGCACAGCTAGCTTTGCTTATTATGGAAGCAACTTTTGCATCTTTTGAAGTATTAGTTGAAAGGACACAACCAACATAAATAAAATTCCCCACCACTTTGAATTGGCTGTTAGTGCTCTTTGATGACTGGGGGAGCAATGGTTGTTGAGTTTTGAAAAGGTCGTGGCAGACGTCAGTCTTTTTTGTGCTCATGGTGAGACTTAAAGTTGTCACATGCACTGGAGAGAGAATCCGTACATTCATGCCTGCTTATATTGTCATATGGCAATAGGGCACAGTCATGAGCTAACTGGAGGTCACATACCAGAATCTTTTCAGCTCATTTGGCTTTCAACCTCCAACACAAATTGTGTGTCATGCACATTAAGTACAATGTTGAATAGGTATGTTTTTTATCTCTATTTTTTCCTTGCAAGTAGTTTCTCTGTGCAGAGTTTTATGCTGTCAAAATGATTTTAAAAAATAAGTCTTAAGTAGTACATGTAATGGTAAAAGAAGAAGTACAAGTTGTGGTAAAAGTAATCTTTATCCCTCCTTTCAAAACTTAACCTTTTAAAGTACTTTTAAAACTTTATTCACTTTTCATTACTTTAATTGCGTTAAACCCAAATTTTTTTACTCCTCTTTAAGTAATGCATAAGTAATGGTGTCTAGAAATTTAGTAGCGTTAATTTGCAACCACAGAAAGTTAAAAAAATTAGGTGACATAATTAAGATTGAGAATGAGACAAATATGTGTCTTCAGCAAGCCGTGAGTCTTTTAACATTTGTTTAAGTTTATGAGGTGGGGATGCCCTTAATAAATTTCATTAATGTTACGCTTTACAGTCTTTTGAATCAGGTTTTATACCTTCAGGATTTTCGAAAATATTGTAAAAGATGGTATGTTATCATTTTACATCATGACACATATAGGAGAACCAAACCTCCGTGATTGTGTTTTGGAAAAAAATGTCCTAGTGCCTTGCATAACAGCGTGTTCTTTTTTTGGTGTTCTCAGCTCTAAGTGCACCTCATGGTCACAGGGACTTTTCCTTTCGTCATGAATCAGGAGACATTATAAACTTTTGAAGCCAGTTTGGCATACCAAGGGAGAAATTGTTTTGGAAGCATCGACATAGGGCTGCATATTTGGGATGCATCCATGCACAAACAGCTTTGAACTTTGCCAGATGTGGGCACATGCTCTGTTGAATTTGTGCTTTGGCTCCATGTCTTTATGGATTGGTTCAAAGTGCGCCAAGTTAAATAAAGGATTTTTTTTGGTTGGCACAGACATTTGACCTCAAAATTGATTAATTTTTGTCCTTATTTTTGCAGAAACCTAGATCTAGCTCCGACCTGCAGTATTTGGTTTTCATTGGTTGGTTATACTTCTCTCATTCTGCTCTGGTCATGAAAGTCAGGGTATCTAAGAAAAAAGCTTTAAAATACATTAGATTCTAAGCCTATATAATATATATATTAGTAAGCATTGTTATTACAATTTCCCAACTGATTAAAAGGAAAGATGAAATTTATGAAAGTGTTCAATTTCTATAGAAAACTTATGTTCCATGGTTTTCGGGCTGTAGCTGGGGGTCATGGCTGTGCATCTTCTGCCTAGTTTTTCCCGGTCAACTCATGTGTGACTGCCTGAAAGGTAAGGGACCATGTCCTCTCCTATAAAAAGAAATAACCATGTGATCAGTTCAAGCTGTTCTGTGGACTGAACGATTTTCAGGCAGCTTCACCTAAAGCAGGGGAAGGTATATAAGAGTCCTTAAAATATTGTGATTCTTCATAGTCCTCTGCTTGGAAGCACAAGAATTATCTTCTCATATTACTTATGGTGGTCAGGGGTAGTCGACTGCTGGTTCTTCAACCTGTAGTGCGAATGATTTATATGTTATTGTGTGACCATTTTTCTTACTTAGTAGGGCCCCTTACCTTCTGGCAGCAACATTCCGATTTTGAAAGTACTCTGCTTTATACTGACTGAATCATTTTCAGTTTTGGCAGGAATTAATTTTTAATTTTGCGAGGGTGGCGGCAGATGCCTACTCTTATCAATTTTAGGGCCACCACAGAACCTCCGAAATTTGTCTCCCTTATCTAAGAAGGCTAGGTGTTAGATCTTACCTACCCTAAGATCAGGGGTGTGACTGTAAGACAGCAATAAAAGGAAGCCTGGAGAAGCAGTACATTTAGAAAAAGTCATCAGTAAAGGAGAGAGGAGCCGGAAGGCTTGGGGTGGGAACAGGTGGGGGAAGAAAGTGGATATGAAAACAGATGACTGAACATGTCTAGAATCAGGAAAGGAAGTCAAAGGAGAATTTTAGAGAAGAATGTTTTGCGGTCTCTGTCAGGTTTTAAATGCGCCACCTATTGAATGAGAGGCGAACACAGTATGTCTAGACCGTAAGAGCCCCTAGCCTTTAATGATATGTAGTTTAAATTCTTTTGATAGAAATGAGAGATTATGCAAGTTCATTAACTCTTTAAGCCCTGAGTTTTTTTCTACCGTTTCCCTGAGTTTTTTTCTACAGTCACCTAAACCTAGTGCACTATGTCTCATTATAACCCCAAAAGCTTGCCTCCAACTTCTAAATAGCGGAAACAAAGGCTTAGTCATTTCTAAATAACTTGGTTCGGGAACAGTTCCGAAAAACAAGCAAGAACTAGATCTAGCACTAAATAAAATGAAACAGTTGTCACCAGTACCCAGCGTCCGATGGGGAACTGGGTTATTACCGCCAGACGCTCCCTGCGTCCGATGGGGTTCAAAGGGTTAAGAGATGGTCCTGTTTCTCATATTGCTGGGGTATAGTAGTAGTAATGGCAGCTTCTCAGTTCTTGGATGATTTTGAGGGAAAACACTGGTTGCTTCTTGTACATATATCGTCACTCTCATAAGATAAATGCCTAAGTCCTTTTTAGCCATTTACAAAATGAGGAAAAAACTTTCTTTTCGAACAATTGACTTTTTGAAGTGCTTGAATTTTAGTGCATTCAACTGATTTTATATTTGGATTATTCTTTTGTCTAAGTGAACTATATACCAAGCTGGCTCTGCTCTTCATTTCAGAACCAAAAACTCCATACTGACCAAAAATGACTTCGTCATTTATCTTATGAGTGTGACGATATGTGGCTCAACATTGGTTCTCGCTGTTGTCAAGTATTTCACCTTGAAACCAGCCATGCCTAAAGAAAAATCTTTTCTGACTTTCATCGTAACTCAAAAGAAAAGTGTGGAGAATCTATTTTCTTATTCTGAAGTTTTTGTATTTTTATTATCGTAGTTTAATTACATTCCTTCTTCTTGTCTTTTTTTAATTTAGAGAGGCCAGGAATGTTTGACATGAAAGGAAAGGCCAAGTGGGATGCCTGGAATGCATTGAAAGGTGAGTTTCCATCTTTTCTTCTTTTTAGAAAAGTTTATTAAAGAAAAAAAATGAATTTAACGTTAATTTCAGAATTGCTTTGGAAGAGAATAACAATGTTTGTTTCAAAACAAAAAAAATCTGAAAATTTGTTGTCTTCATGACGTAGACTACTTTTTTTCTTTCAAATCACTGAGTGCACCTCTTCCATTTTTAAGTCAAATTATATTGTTGAACCTTTCTGAACTGGAATCACAAGTGAACTAGAAAGTGGTTTCCCATTAGATAGGTCCATCAGAAAGTGATGATAGCTTGGATTCCTACCTGTGTACTGTCAGTCACTGCTTCCACTGTCTGCATCATGATATATGTCACAGGCGCTCATTAAAAAAATGAAATTGAAGAAACTGACATTTTTCCATCTGTTACCCAATTTTTATAAGATTTTTAATTTTTGGTTTAACACCTTTTATATTCTAATTTCTGTGTGTATAATAATAATAGAGTTAGTGACTAAAATATGAGTAACAGCTGTTATAAAGTATGGGTTGCTTACTGTTTACCTAATTGGAGAAAGAAGTTCAGATTGTCGTGGGTAGTTGGCGGGTGCTCTGGTGTAGTTTGCTCCTTCTTTCCTATCTAACAACTATTGTCTTTATCTCTCCTCCTTCCATTTTGTGTTTGTTGCTCTCTTGTAACACCTCTAATCTTCGGCACTTATATGACCTAATTGTGTTGCGAGTGCCGTAAAACGCTTTCTAAAACTAAAAGCAGTTCAGATTGTCTAGGAGATTATTGTCTTGAGCATGGTCAGGTGTACTGCACTTTGTGCCAGCTGTGTTTGTCCAGTCTCCTCAGACCAAACACTTCTGCCTCTGTCTGCCTCAGTTTTTGCTTATTGATTAAGAATTAGAGATTTTTTTGTTCTTTTGAGCTTGTATGAACAGCATTTTTTATTTGAGAGAAATTATATTTTCAAACGGGAACAGAATTTTTAGTTCTTTTTTGTGCTCCTGTACAGCTCTCTGCATTATGCAGGTTCAATATGTGGCTGTATATAATTAAAGAAGCAAAGCTTTGCACCTTGACAGGACGTGTCCACCACGGTAGGCTTAACTGATTGCAGCGCTTTACCAGTATTGTGAAGAGGAGGTGAAGCGAGCAGGAGTTTGAATACAGAATATCTATTTTGCTGGCTTTAAGGGTGGGGTGGGGAGGGGATGCAATGGATAATTTAGTTCTGTAAAAATCTTTCATTTTCTTTTTGTTATTAGTCCCATAGTTTTTGGTACAGATCCAAATCATTCCATGGTTGATTAAATGGCCACAACTTTTAAAGAAAGAAAACTGAGATTAACTTTGAACACGTTCACTGCTTTTGTACATAAGTACACATTTTTAATGTACACTAAAGTATGGGGCTCTCGTGGCCTAGAGGTTAAGGTGTTCGCCTCTCTTTCAAAGGTACTGGGTTTGAATCTAGGTAGTGATGGAAAAGTTTTCTTCTCTAAGATTGTCTCCTTTCACCTTCTTTCCTTCTCTCTTGCAATATTCTTTCGTCTGCTTTCCTCTCCACTTTCTTCCCCCTCCCCCTCACCTCCTTTGCCCCCTCCACTGGGCTCCTGACCCTTTCTGCAGCCTTTCTACTGCTACTCCTTGGCTCCTTCTTACTGTTGTCTTTCAGCCACACCCCTGATCTTCTGGTGGGAAAGATCTACAGCTAGCCCTCTTGGACAAGGGCGAAAAATATGAGGTCCCGTGTGCAAGTTGCGCACATTAAAGATCCCTTGGTGGTCTAAAATCAATTAGAGTAGGCTTCGGCCGCCACCCGGGCAAAATTCAAAATTTCCTACCAATTGAAAATGTTTGGTGTGTCCCACGCGCTCATGTGATCTTATGCAGATTTGCGAGCGCCGTAAAACACTTACCACCCCCCCCCTCCCAAAAAAAGACAAAAAACAAAAACAAACGAACTAAAAACAAACCACTAAAGCATAAGATAACCTTTGTTGGTCCTGACTTGGAAGAAATTAACATAGTGTGCTCTCTCCATCTTGCCCTGCATAGTAAGCAGTTAAAGCTGGCCTATTATTTAGAAAGGGTGTACTTATTTTCTGTGTTGCGAGGGGGCATCGGTGATTTGCTTCTTTTCTGTATACTGATGGGTTTTTTCCCCTGTATTTTCGCCCGAATTGTCCTGTAATCATTCTCCTGGATTTCATGAACTTTCTTTACTGACCCCTTTGTCCCATAACTCATTTTTCTGTAGTAATCGTTATTTTCTTTATTTCTGAATTCACTTTTAGAGGTGAAATATCGCCTGAACACTGTAAAACAGTCCTTAATTATTGAAGATATTCGACCAAAAAAGTGACAGAAAAAAAATCTGGTTTGCTGTTTATTGGGGTATATTATAAACAGCATAAACGAACTGACACAGTGGTTGGTTGGTGGGTGCTATTGTGTTTCAATTGCCATAAAACGCCTGACTGAAACAAAAAGACTGACTCAAAGTTGACCTTTAGTATACCATTATATTTTTACCCTGTTTGACGTGAGCTTTGGCACACACTTTTGATGTCTGTGAACACATGTACTTTGTGTTTGTTGTAGACATGAGAACGCAAATTGTAATTTTAAGTTGTTTTAAAAATAATACATTCACTTTCTTGGAATAGAAGTAGGACCCAAAATTCATTCCTTTTCCGTTGAATTCACATTAACATTTACATTGGGGAACATCAATTGTGACTGTTTCATTGTAAGCAGGCAGGGAACGAAGATAAATACACTATAGTCACGGTTTCTACTAAGCGTATCTATCTCGCTGCCACACAATGGTATGGTTAGTGTGAGCATGTTAATATATACGTGTGTGGTTGTGTTGGAGTGATATTCACTGGTTAGCAACTTTGTTTATTCTGTTTAATATTTTATTTATTTA